CTGCAAATATTGCAAACGTACGGGAAGTTTGTAAACGTTCGCTCGACGCAACAACTTAGTTGCTTGAGCGGTTCTCGAAAAATTTTTGGGTTTCCAAAAACTTGAAAGTTGAGCTTCCAAATGCAACATTCAAAAGACTAGGTCATGCATGGCTCATTCAAAAACTAAAAGTTGCTTTAGAAAACATGTATAAATGACCCCTTAAAAACCATTTACTCAAAATCCCTTTAAATCAACCAAAATTGAACTTAGAAGCTCGTGCATGCAAGATTTTCCAAACTCTTTTCTCAAACCTCATGAATTCAATGAATTTGAGCTCAAAAGCTCCATGCATGTACAAAACTCTTCTTCATAATTCTCAAAACATGAAATTAAGGGTTAAAACATGATGAATCAAAGATGCATGTACGAATTACCTCACAATTTCAACAAGGATGATCAAAACCAAACTCAAAGTGATAAAACTCAACATATTAATGCATGCATGTAAGAATTCATCATCTTCTTGTCCTTCTTTAGCAAAGTATATACAAATGATAATAATAACTCCATGAACTCAACTCTAAAACGAATCATCTTCAGGAATTTATCCAAAATTGAATACTTTATATAACAGTTTTGGTTTAGAACCGGCATATTTCATGTTTTTAGACCTGATTTCGTGTCTTCAATTGTTGTTTATGTTCTTTATAGTCTTGTTGGTCGTTGAGTTGGGTTTTTCATTGTGTATGAAACAGGTTAGGAGTTAGTTCTTCGAAAGAGTTGCTATCATATTTTCTTCTCGTTCGCTCGAGCGGTGTTTTGGTCACTCGAGCGGTGTTTGAGACCTCCTAGTATTTTATAAGTCTGCAAAACCTCTGAAAGTAGGGTGATCTTTGCTTGAGCAGTCTTCTTCAGTCTTCAAAACTTTTGGGAAGAGGTCATTTTGCGCTTAAGCATTGTTTTGGTTGCTCGAGCAGTCTGTGTGTATATTAGTTCAGGAAAAAGAATTTTGAATCACTCTCTCTCTCTCTTTGAAACCCTCCAAACCCTAATTTATTCACTTTCTCTCTCTAGTTCTTGCTTAAGATCTCAAATACTCCATTATCCATTGATTTCTCCACCATTACTCTTTGGAGAAAAAGGTAGAGCTTGTCGAAAGCTTCAATCTAATTAGAGAGGATCTTGTTTTTGGCTCCGCTAAAGTTTCACTCTTGCTCTCTTCCTCTTCTACTCTTAAGGTAGGAATTTCTTCAACCTCTCGTATGATTCTAATTGAAGGTTAAGTCTCTTTGAAATGATTTAGTGATTTTGGGATTTTGGGTTAAACTTAGGGTTTGATTTTGGAAAAGTAAAAGAGGGGTTTTTAAATGGGTGCTTGAGAAAGGTTATGGGGATGTGTTTATGGTTGAGATATGTTGAAATGTTGGAATTCCTTTACTTGAATATGACTTTGAAAGTAAAAATGATTTTGTTCAAAAATCATAGATGTTTGGTTTATGGAAGAAAAAGGAAAAAAAATGTTGGGTTTTCAAATGATGAAATGAATCACGGGGCCTCTTTTGTGTTGGCGGAATGCCATTTATGTAAAAGGGTTATACCCTTCTTCTTGACTTTAATGATGTAAGCCCAAGGGCAATTTATTTAGTGTTCTTATGTTGTATTTACTTGCATACGAATGAGAGCAATGTTATTCACTTCTACAAGTTGAATATACGAGTTTATTTCCGCATGTTATCTCTCAAATGGAATTAAGTAAATGAAATTAGTAATACTTCGAGTAATAAAAAGTGGGGCGTGACATCTATAATGAAAGTTTATTTGTATAGTTTGATGAATATTTATTTTATCCATGACACATTCTATGATGAATTTGGAATTGATTTGGATTTTTTATAAATTTTTAAAGTTTATGTTGCTTGTTAGTTTCACCTCACTACAAGAATTTACACTTTTGATGACCAAATTTGGCAACTCAAAGTATTTTAGTCGCCAAAAGTATCACTTTTGGTGACTAAAAAATTTATTGGTCAGCGTTGATTTAGGATATAGTTACTAAAATTTTTTAGTCGAGAAATATTAATTATCGGTGACTAAATTCAGTTTTAGTTGGCAAAAATTTGACTTTTCATGACTAAAAAACGTATTAGTCACCGTCAGTCTATATTTTAGGCTACTAACTTTTTTTTTAGTCGCCATATGTTTTTTTTTTTGCCGAGAAAATAAATTTTAGTCGCCAAATAATAAGCATATTCTTATGGTTACTCTTTAGTGACCAAAAGAATTAGTCGGCATTTCTTAAGTTTTGGTGACTAAAAAAAACATTAGTTGTGCCATATGATCTTTTACTAGCCAAAATTATTTTTAGTCACCAAAATACTTTGGGCTACTAAAAAGTTAGTCACCGTTAATTCATCTTCTTCTACAAAATAGAATAGTTGGCATATATATTTCATTTGCCGACAAAAAATGAAGTCGCTAAAAATGTTAAAAAGTTTAGGGAGGGAAACTATTTATTACTGCCCGCGCTTCCTCTGTTAAACAAAAGGATATTTGAACTCTCTCACACCTAGACTGTCTCACCACCGCTTCCTCTGTTAGACAAAATGATATTTGAACTCTCTCACACCTAGACTGTCTCACCACCAAACCTCACCAAAATCACTTCACCGCAGCCCACCGTACGGAGGACGTCGATACGACCACTGCCACCGCCGGAAATCACCATCGCCACAGCCGCAAATCACGGGTTCTCTCTTTCTCTCTCTCTCACACACTCTCTCGCTCTCGGGCTGTCTGTGTGTCTCTCTCGCTCGCTCACAGTCTCTCTGTATCTATCTCTCTCTCTCTCTCTCTCTCTCTCTCTCCCATCCTCTGTTTCCCATTTTCTGATTGTTGATTTAGGGTTTAATTTCGTGTTGATTTAAACTGTTTCGCTTTGGCTGTTAATTAGCTGCACATTTTATGGATTCCTCATAAGCTTGCATGTTGAAACAAGAAAAAAAAATGCAGAAATAGGACCTTAAGAGTCCGTTACGCTTTCCAAAATGAAAATCTTCAGTTTGTGAATTTTCTAAGAGCTCACATTGTGATTGAATAACTGGCATGAATAAAGCAAATGGCTATTTCATTTTTCATATTCATTTCCTAGATGACTGCACTGTTAGCAATACTTGTGCTGATTGATATACAAAATAAAGCATGTTAGTCTTCATAAAACAGTGCAAGTGCATCATCTGAAAACCAGGTGTCTTGTAGCTTTGCATTCAGCTCAGCATGTTGTTGTATTCAGATATACAAAATAAACCTTTTTGTTTTTTTTTATGCATGTGATATGTTCTTAGTTTTAGTGATTTATAAGTGATCCGAAATGTTTTAATGCTATGTTTTGTATTGCTTAACATATTGACATGTTTTCACAAACAATTTATTTCTTAGATTGCTTGCTCATGAGTGTATTCTTTGATTCACTTTTTTGTTTGATTCTTTTGCATTGTTACTTGTGAAATACTCTTTTTTTGGAACCCCTTTTAGATTGTTAATCTTTTTTTCTTTTTTTTTTTTTGTTGAATTTCAGCTTGGATTGAACCTCAGAGATAATTTCTTAATCTGGGTTATGCAATTGTTGGTGAAGTTGTTGTACCCTAAAATTTAAATGAAAAAAAAAAAAATGAGGGATCCCAATTTGGTCATTCGTTTCAAGAGGCCTCTCAATTTTATCTTCTATGTATTATAGTTTGTATGTGTTAGTAAATTTGTATACATACATTAATTCTCATATTTGTAAACCTAGCAAATTGTTGTTGTTGCTCATAATTTGATACGAAAATCCGAGTAAAATCTCGGACAGGAGGTGTTGTGCAAAAAAAATCTGGCGAGTTTGTATAAAATCTTGGCTGTGAGCCGCCTCCAACACTGTCTTGTATGGTTTGCAAAGCAATGGGGGTTAGATGGAACACTATACCATCTAGTTATCGTGTTTTGATGTATTGATTTTTATTTTGGAAATTCAAGGGTGTTGATCTCTTAATCCTGAAGGTAATTTGTGCTTTGTTGTTGAATTCCCATAATTGCATTTGATGATTGAAGGTTGTCCATTTTTACTGTTGGTATGTGGAATCAAAGTGCAGGATTGGCATTGCTGGAATTCCGTGCAAGAGTGGATTATGACCCATATGGCGCCTTTTCAAATTGGAATCCCAATGATGACGACCCATGTTTGTTGTTCGATGTCCATTGCGTTGATGGTGAAGTGCAATATCTATAAGTCCCTCTTAGACTTAACTCAAAAAGTTTCCAATTCATTTCAGTTTATTTCCTTAAAATGTGAATGAATGTCTTCTTTCCTCAAATAGTGAGCAAATGTGTATTGTGAACGAAAGCTGAGATTTTTGTTTAAAGATTTGATAACGAGGGTTTAGAATTGTACAATTTGAATCACTATATCTTCTGACATATTGCTATTTAATTTTGTGTGTAGGGATGTCAATGGACTTTCCTTTGCAGGGGAACTTGCCCCAGACCTTGGGAAGCTTTCTCACCTAAGATCTCTGTAAGCATTATTTGGTTTTTGTGGCTTTGCATTCATAGTTGAGTGTTCTTTCATATCTGCTGGATTGCTTGATTCATTTGGTAACCTAAGATTTCAAAAACTATACATGCTGCTTTCAAGTTTGGCTGGCATTGGGGGATTACCTAAATTACTAGCGATGGTGCAAACACAGTGTGTTTGCAATTTCAAGTTTAAATTTTTGGATAGAGGAAGAGAAACAAATATATTTTAAACACTTGGTAGAGAGCTAAGAAGCACGGACACTTTTAAGAAGGTGACGTATCCGTGTCGGACACCGACACTCTTTGGACACTCTTAGGACACGTGTCCGATACTCTTCAAAACGTGTCCTATTTTTTAAATATTTTTAAAGGCCTGGACACTCTTTGGACACTTGGAGGACACACGTATCAATTGTTTAAACACATGTGTCTATTGATTATACATATGTGAAACTAATTATAAGTTTGAACAAAACAACTTAAGATACAATAATAAAACAAAAAGCATATAAATTTATAGGAATTAGTGTTATATTGCATTTTTTATTATTTTTGAATGATATATTCATATATATAACATGTAATAAATATATAAAATTATATATTTCATGCGTGTCCTCCACGTGTCGTGTCCTGCATTTTTTTAAAATTAACGTGTCGGCGTGTCCGTGTCGTATTCGTGTCGTGTCACGTGTCACGTGTCCGTGTCCATGCTTCTTAGGTAGAGAGTCAAATTGTGATAGTCAAAACAAGTTTTATTTTTAATTCTTTTGAACCAATAGACAAAACAAATTGAAATAAAAATTAAAAAGATAACTGTAAAATCTGAAAACTTTATGACAGAGTCATAAGATTCCAAATTTCTCTTCCTCTATACCATTTTTCTTGTCCACAAAATGGAGATTACATATTAAAATTTCAAGAATTCCATATCAAAACTCCCTCAAATTTCTTGATCTTTCTTGTGCAGTATATTAAAATTTCAAGAATTCCATATCAAAACTCCCTCAAATTTCTTGATCTTTCTTGTGCAGTATTGTTTTTCCCAGCAATTTTTACATATGCAAGTTATCTTCTGAAGCTTCTTAATTCACATACTATTTTCCAATGTCTTTGTTTCTATTGTAAACTTTTCATGTGGATCAATATTATTCATGTTGAGAGTATTGCGTCAACTTGTGTTCATTCCATTGCGTTTTTCATCAAGTTGGCCTAATCTTCTCTGTGAAACAAATCTGAATTGGTGCTTGGTTGGTTGCCCCTATATAGTTTGCAGTTTTAGATTGGAATTTGTAAAACGCAGGGTCACTTCAGAAATTAATATGTGGTGCATAATGATATTTGCATATGGAGCAAAAAGTGATTACATACCCTGGCATATATGTGTATTTGGATTAACTAGTTGAAGCATGTCATGGTTGGTTCATTTTTCATGGTTGTTGGGGGGTATCTTTGTCTTAGGTTTCTTATGTTCATTTTCTTAGGAGACATATAGTTCTTACTAGTGTCTTTTTTTTTTCTTTTTCTTTTTTTTAAACTTCACGTGTACAGGTTAAACTTGGTGCTCTTTAATGAATTTACCCATATATTTATATATATATAGAGAGAGAGAGAGCAGGGCCAGCCCCGGGGCATAGGCCACAAGGCCGTGGCCTAGGACCCCTCAAAATAGATTCAAAAAAAGGGCCCTCTCCTGTTATAATTTAGTGTAATATATTAGGTAGGTTTTAAGTCTAAAAAAATTAAAAAATATTCAAAGTAACCTAAAATAAATTAACCAATTAAAAAATTGAAAGGCCATTCAAAAAAATTAGCATTATTATCCAAATAAACCCAAAAAAGGGATCTCTCTTATTATAGTTTAGTCTAATATATTAAGTATATTTTAAGTCCAAAAAAAAAATAAGGAAGGCCCAAATTAACTTAAAATAAATTAATCTATTAAAAAATTGAAAGGTCCATTTAAAATAATTAGCATTATTATTTATTGAAAATGATTTTGCAAAAAAATTAGATTATACAAGTATGATTGATTTATTTGCTTTTAAAAATACAAGAAGAGTGAGGATCAAGCGATACTTATTAGTTATTGTAATGTAATAAGTATTTTTTGTGATTTTGACACAAATCTTTTGTCCTTTACTTTCAAATTTTTTTTTCATTCAATGAAAAAAAAAAATGTAAAGGGCCCCAAAAATTTATAGTTGATTATTGGCTTTGGGCCCCAGAAATCTCAGGGCCGGGCCTGAGAGAGAGAGAGTTTGGGAGTGTGACCATGAAATTTCCATTGTGTTCTTTCAATCCATATGTTATAAACAATGTAATCTTTACTAATGGGTTCTCTGAAGTTCTGTTTTTGGTTGGTCTTGTGAGCTAGGATTCATGAAGAATCAACTGGGTGGCAAACTATTTTGACCTTCTAGTTCAATCTTCCTAAGCTGATGATGCGACCTAAATGTTGATTTTGTTGAAATTTGGGAGTTGGACTTGGTGAAGAATCAACTGATTTCAAACAATTGTAGTTTATGGTTGAAACTCCATATTGGGTCTCCCTCAAGCTTAAATTTGATGGCCTTCTCTGCTCTATCTGGTGTTTCTTTCAACATTTCAAGGCTCTTATTAAGGTTATGTAGGTGGATTCTCGTTAAGATGTCTTTGAATTGTAAGTACTCTGCCTCTAAGCAGAAAATGGGAACCAATTTGAAGCTGACGAAGGCAAAGGAATCTTTGCATGGATCTAATAGAGTCTGGAAGTGGAGTAGACATCTTCTATTTCTGTGGCTTTTTGGTGTTTTCATTGGGTTTATTAGGTTCTTCTATGGTTTGAATGATGGGGCTTTGAGGACAAACTAGGAGACTCTAGACTTGTGTCAACAACACAAAGCTAGGATTTTGCTAGAACATTTCAATATCAGCAAGGACCAACTTCATGAATCAGATCAGGTGCTGTCTTTATATCTATCTTAGAGATTTGCTTCTTAAATGGCTCCACTCTTTCTGGTTGTAGTTTTAAGTAACTTTTGTTGGTAATAACTGTTTATGTTAATTAATACTTGAGTTGGTTAGGAAGTTTGAGTGAACAAAGAAAGTGATACAGAATAGGATTACAGTTGTTTCTTGCTGCATCTTTGACAGGATTATATTTGCTTAGTTCTATATTTGTGACAAATGGTGGTCGCCTCGTCTGAATTTTGCTACTGTGGATTCTGAGTGCTTATTAAGATGCTATCTTTTTGAGACATTATTAGAAGTCTTCTATGTGCAGTATTATTTGGTAGGAAATGCTTCTTGTATGCTAAAGCTTCTATAAAACGGACAAAAGTCAAATCCACTAAAACAGTGAAATTACCTTCAAATGCTATATGGAACTAATGGGTGTAATTTTTGTTTTGTAGATAACTTTTGGCATGGACAGGTGGATCTTCTATTTTTGTGTATGGGGGATAATTTACACTTTTGAATAATCCCACTTTTTTGTCGCTTTTTGTGTGAATTTGGGTGAATCGTACATATAACTTTTGGCGGGGTATAAAATACTTTTGACATCAAACAGTGTATAGATTACCTTTTTTTTTTTTGATCGGCAAAGAAAAATTTCATTAATCAACATGAAATTAAAGTACAGGAAGATGAAATGCACTGAGAGAGATTCGGAAAGTACGAATGCCCCTACTACTGCTACTCGCAACCATACAACCAACCCCTTGACCTTACGATTTTTTTTTCAAAACAGAAAAAGGTAAAGACTTAATAGAAAATAAAAAACATGATTCCCCACAAACTCAACCCATCAAAACACTTAAATTGCTGCACACACCCAAGCCTATGATGCTACACTCCCAAGGCCAACCACCCACCTGCACACGACTTGCTCATCACGCCAAGATCCATGCTGCTACACCTAATCTGCTACACTCCCAAGGCTACACAATGCCTATGCTGCTGCACTCCCAAGGCCACCACCGGAAAACTCCATAGCCAACAGCTCCATGGGCCACACCACCGGAAACTCCATAGCTCCAACAGCTCCATAGCTCCACCGGAAACTCCACAACTTAATCACCACACCAACAGCTCCAAGACCCACGCCTATGCTGCTCACTCCCAAGGCCAACCACCCACCTGAACACCGAACAACTCCAACGCCTATGCTGTTGCAAATCACAAAAATAAATAAATAAATAAATAATAATATTTATATTGGAAGTTGCAGATCTATTATTTAATTTAATTCAAACTTAATGTTAATTAGCTAAGCTTCTTACTCACACCCACTGCAAATCCACACACCGACCAAACCACCTACCAACCGCCGGAAGTTCACCCCTCAAACTCTCACTCAAAGAGGAACACTCGAATGAACACCAGACAAATCTGGATCGACTTCGACACCCATATTTCCGCCCAAACAAAGCATCGATACATCTCCACCAATCTGAACCAGAGTTCAACCCTCAAGCTCCTACTCGCAAAAGAGTGCACGAATGAAGATCCTGGACGTCCCCTACCGCAGCAACACAGAACACACCTAAGTGGGAAAAATGGAGGAATCGAGTTTATTGAAGGAAAAAACTAACAAACAACGGCGGAAAGAGCTAGGCCAGCCGACCGTCATAGCCAAAGGCGGCGGCCGGTCGGCCCAAAAAGAGGCTTGGGGAGGAGGTTTTTAGAGAGAGAGAGAGAGAGAGAGCCTTGTGTGGTAATTTGGGGAGGAGGTTTTTATAGATTACCTTTTGTTGTGCTACAAATTACCATAGTAATTTCTACCATGCCAATGGCCATTTCGCATAGTAGTAAATATATTTTTGTATATGGAGAACATTGTTTTTGTATGCTTATTTGTTCTGTATGAAATTATTATTTCCAGTTGGAATATATACTTGGTTTGCATAGAATTTAACATTAAAAGTTATTCTTTTTTGTTGGATGGTTGTAAGTGAAATACATATTGTGGAATGGGTGATAATATATACGTATTGTTTTGTTTTCACACTTGTTACAGGTTGTGTACATACAGGTTGTGGACAAATTAATTAAAATATAAAAAAATATATAAAATGATGTTTTTGGCGACTAAATAATTGGTAGCCAAAAATAGAGCTAAATATTTTTAGCCACTAAATAGTTAGTAGTTAAAAAAGAATTAAATGGAAATAAATATTTTGGAGACTAAATATTTTGTAGCCATTTAAGGAAGACTTTAGGCGACTAATGATTTAGTAGCCCCCCCCCCCCCAAAAAAAAAAAAAGGAAAAACATTTTTGGTGACTAAATATTTAGTTGTCAAAACATAAAAATTATATGATAAGCCACTAAAACTTTAGTAACTAAACAAAAAACTTTAGGTGACTAAACTATTTAGCAGCTAAATAACAAATTGGACTTTAGGCAACTAAACATTTAGTAGCTAAGCAAACCTAGATGAACAAAAAATAAAATACGTGACTAAAACTTTGGTCGCCTTAGATAATTCAAGTATTGGTGACAAAAATTTTAGTAGCTAAAAATGTGAGGTTAAATTAAATTGTAAGCTTTTGGCAACTAAAAGATTAGTCACCAATTTAGTTTTTCAGAGACAAAAAAATATTTAGTCGCCAATACCTTCCCCAATAATCTTCCCGCAACAAAGCTCGCGACCAAAATATTTAGTCCGGAAAATGTTTCGGTGACTAAAAATATAGTCGCCAAAGGTGCAATTTGTTGTAGTGCCTGTTTGGAGTATTTTTTTATTATTATTTTATGCCCTAATTACTTTACAGTACGTTATTTTAATTGTTTGATGAATAAAAAAGGAGCTTTGTTTTGAAACTAACTACGCGTGATTTATATAGGAAAAGCTCCTCTTTTATTCAGTTAAACATTCTTGAAGTCATACATTTATCATTATCATTAATTTACAAAATAACTAGTTTGCCTGTCAAAACAAATTCTATTAAATTTTTTGCCAAAACAAGTCCAGGACATTTAATAATAAAGTTCAAGTCTCAATTTACCAAAAATGAGTTTTTATCATGGATTTTTATCTCCCAAGCCAGAAATAGTTTATTTTGAGAAACTACGCATCCCAATAGTTACTATAAAAAGTTGAAAGTTTGTCAAATTATTCTTTTTATTTCATTTATTCAAAAAAGGTCGATAGATGCCTTAGTCGCCCCCCCGCCCAATTTTAATTATAATTTTATGCATCATTCATTCTTACTATGGCTCAACCTTACTTGGACATACAAGCGTTTCAATACATAAAATAAAATGCAATGTATTAAATATAGAATTCAAAATTTAATATTACAAACCAACTACTAATTACTCTTGAATTATATGAAACACCCAACACTCAAATTAGAGGGCCGTCTGCATACAAAATAGATAACCGGTAATTAAGGATATGGCCTGCCATCTGGACCTATAATGTAAGGAGTCGTTTGTTTCTTGGGATTGAAGTGTGGAACTGGACTCTCTGTCTAATAAATTTACTAATCCGTCATTTGGTTAGTTTAGTAAAGATCGGTCTAATACATATCATTTCTAACTAAATAGTCTAAGGATTATTTATTTAGGACTAAAGTCCATTATATTGCAGGTCCACCCTTTTTCAGTCCATCCAAACAAACAACTCCTAAGTGGTTTGTGAAACAACGCTCACCATAATCTATTATAAGTGTATAAAAGCATGAAGATATGGAGAAGGGCATATCCAAGCCAACCAAGCTTCAAATGCCTACAAGATTCAACAAGAACATGCTCAAATCTCACTCTCAAGCTCAAGGTTAGTTTCCAAGTTCTCAACATAAGAGTGAGGAAGAAGAAATTAAACAAAACCAAAGTATATTGGTATGCCATCACACATGTACATTATCAAACAAAGAGTAGTGATACACAAATAGAAAATTCATATCAAAGTTTCTATTCATAATAATATGGTTTAATATAGACCTTTTAGTTTGAAGCACAAGACCTATTAAGATGGTATTTATTAACAAATATGTCACTGTCACATCATTCTTATAGCAAATTCAATATAAACATTTTGGTGGTTTAGCATTTTCCTCAGAAAAAACAAGCACACGGGCATTTATGCACACTATGCAATTCTCAACATTTAGTCGAGCAAATAGTTAGACCTTCATTATCAAACAAAATTTGTGCACAAGGCCACCAAAACCGAAGAATTGCATTGGAGCCAACCTCAAGGAAATAAAAACATGAAATTAGCAAGCATCCAAGAACAGGTGTGATGTGAACCTGCATGTAGCGCATATATTTCCAACCTGAAGTCAATAACTCGGCCAAGGTGTTTAGTCCAACAGTCCTGCAGCTTTGGAGTTGGTAAATGGGTTGACATAGTCGTTGTGGCAGTGGATTCAAAATCCGCATATTCAGTTTTAATATGTACGAGCAGATTATTTGATTAGGTAAATTTTGGTTTTAACCATCCACAGCTGTTGAAGCTCTCACTGTCTCACTGTCATTGCTGGTGTTTCATTGGAATCTCGACACTTTCTTAAGGCTGCCCTTATCTCTTTCAACATATCTTTTATCTTCATACCTTTACTGCAAGTAACATCAAAATAGAATTGTCACTTGGGCTCCTTTTGATAGACAAAGCAAAACAAAGTGTTTACATTTTTGCTAAATTCACTAAAATCTCTTCATTGGGTAGAGGAAGAATCTGAGGAATGTATTGAGAGAGAATGAATTTGGTTAGCCTATGTGTGGTGGTAAACATCGATGTATAATGAATTACAAAATCATCGTATTAAAAGAAATGGAATATTGTGTTACAAAACCAAAAACCAAAGTATCCAGCACTCCAGCATATATAAGAAGTTACTACACATGCCTCATCCAATAGAACACATTACAAAACTAATTTCCCTGATTTCCCATCACAACCACAAACCCAAGGTGGAGCAATGTGATTTAACCTTTTTAAGAAATCATTTCAACAAGAATTAGGCATCATGCATCCCATTCAGCTCTTACTATGAATTAAGTTAAAAACAAAAGGTGCACAAATATATATCCAGGAATGATTTGCAATCTGAATTCAAATTTAGAACTCATGTCATTCACCTTTAACCATCCAAGGACTAAAGAACAAGGAAAATCTATGAGAAGCTCTCTTACTTAAATGCTAAATGGGCATGAAAACCATCTCACTGCTAATCATAAGAGTTGTTCAAATATGATTAACAAAGAAGAATCTGACCCACCTTTTCAAACTGGTAAAACCAACCAAAGAACAAGGAGACCATAAGGTTGAGTAGGCTTGGTTTGACCATTTCTATTCTTGCATGTTTGAAATAAATCTTATATTCTGTGTTCATGAAAGAAATTTGTAGAATTTAACCATAGAAAGAAAGGTTCATCCATGAATGTGTTCATATATGTGATTACATGGATGCCTAAGTATTAAAATTGAGTGTTTTAGTTCAAGATATCAAATGGTAATTTGGGATGATATATTGTATGTAAACATGTTGGGTTGCTGAATTGAGTAAATAAAAATCCTTGTTATATGTTGAAATGACCTTCCATGAATGTGCAAAA